CTGCTTACAGGATATGGGTGTTATAAATTTTTGGAAAGAAAAGTGGATCGAACTTCTGAATCTTTCCTTCCACGATAAGCAAAAAAAATTCTTTGCGTTCCGTCAACTAATGCACTAAGTGAAAGAGTTTATTCTAGGGTTGAGTTGACGTTGAATCCAAGGTCAGGCCATTGATTATATTCTTAAACCTTATACCGGCAGGCCGATAGTTTAGTCGGCGCACAGGTCTATGCAAAATATATCAAAAAAATGTAAAATAGAACTAATTTTAATCTCAAATGTAAAAAAAATGGATAATAAAATATGCGCTTGAGTATAAGAATGTTCTAACCGTCATTTCAGAAAACTTTGAGTAATCATTTTTAATACGAATAGAGGTTATTATACATTTCTTTGTTATAAAGAAAATAGAAATAAAAAGTTGATGAAAAAAAATTAGATTTGAAGAGTAAATCCAAATCCAACCCTGTCGGAACCGAATCAAAAGTCCCGGTCCAACCCGCCCCGGCCATGCAGATCTCTAACATGGAATACGTGGACGGACCATATTATTTGTAAAGTTATCAAAATGTGATTGAAAACTATATTCGAGGGCTCCAAATTATGAGCCGTATAAAATACGGGAAAAGTTTTCATAATTTTTTTAGAGATTTTTTTTGAATTTTTACTAGCTCGAGCCCGGAACGAAATTATTTAAAATTCGAACTTTGAGGGAACTGCCATCGTAAAGTGTCAAATAAAAAATAATATCATTTATATTAACCTAATAAAAGATAGCATCCATCCAATCTAAGAATTTCCGATTTTAAAACACCCCAACAGACCTCTTGTAGTAATAAAATAATAACTCCAATTTCGAGATTCGAAGAATAATTTTTTAAAAGAATGTCAGCTTGGGGGGAAAAGGGGATAGAAATTATTCTCAGAAGATTTGGTGTGGGATATAAGAATTTTTTAAAAAAAATTTAATTTATTTTTAAAATCGGGAAGAAAGAATATAAATAACAATTTGAAATGGAAATAAAATTAATTAATTAAAATTTTTTTATTTTTTAATTAATAAATAATTTTATTTTTTTAATTTAAAAAATATAAGTAATATGTAATACTTATTTTAAAGTAGGTTATGAAATTATAATATATATTTATTTTTTTTTACATTTTAATTTTTATATTAATAAAATATATATTTTTTTTAATTTTAAAATTTTAAATTAAAAATTTTTTAAAAAGGTAAAGATGAGAAAACGGGAATAAAAAAAATAATAAGGTAAATCGCTTCTCGTATTATCATTTTAATAGGAAATCGAAAAAAAGGGAGTTTTGGGGGAAATAAAATTGAGAAAAGAAGAAATAAAAATTTATTTTTTTTAAAAAAAAATTAAAAATAGAGAATTAAGAAATAATCTAATATAAAGGAACTATTCGTTATTATATTTATTTTAATTTTATAAATTAAATGGATATATAATATATAAAGGTAAAAAAAAAGTTTACATAATATTAGAAGCGAGAATTTTAAAATCTATATTATTAATATATAAAATTAATTTGATATTTTATTCAACAACAACAATAAAATTCATTGATTAATTTTATATCAGCAAAATGAATTTAATAAAAAAAAGGGAAATAGAAAAAAAGGAAGGATAAACATTTGAAAATAATTCTCATTGTCACCTTTAAATTTCTATAAAGAAGATATAATATAAATCATTAAATTTAAACACCTTATAATTTAAATATATTAAAATTATATTAAAATATAAGCCCTGCGATTTTAATAATAGAATATATTGATCAATTATGATTATAGCATTAAGGAAAGTTTTATTGATAGGCAACTTTGGGTCTAGGTACCGAGTTAAAGTGTTTGATACGATTATCAGCATAGACATTTATTTTGAGCGTGTGCAGATATATTTTTATAAACTATTTAATTTTCACTATGGCAAATATTACTTCAACAAGTTCAAAAACTTTATCCAATATTGCACAAAGACAAAATGATTTTTATTATTATTAATGTTTTAATGTTATTGTAGGGAAAAACTAAGGTAACGTCCATAAAGAATTTGTTTTATTATGCAAATTTAGTTTAAAAATAGCTGTACTTATATTTGTTATATGCAAAGATAACATTTTACATTTTTATATTTTATGGAATAACATTAATTTAAATGATGGATTTTTATTTTATATGTTTATTTCTTCGAAAAATTATTATGTTTAATATTCAAATGATTATGAAAAAATGAACATATATATTGTTCAATTATTTTATGTTATTCCATAAAATATAAAAATGTAAAATTTATCTTTGCATATAACATATATACTATTTTTTAAACTAAATTTGCATAATACAACAGAATTCTATTAAATCAACTCAAGTAGATAACATTTAAAATTGTCTTTAAAAAGCAAAAAGATATCCATTTTGCAAGTGTGGATAAAAATTTATCCAACAATTTATAGAATTTATACAGGTATCATAAATCATTTTATTGATAAAAGTAAAAATATAATAATTTATCCGCCAGATGGCGTCTTAATATTATTAATATTTTAGTATTTATTTAGATTTATAAATAAATAATATAATTTAATTTTCAATCAATTTTGTCTTATTCTTTTAAGAGCACTCAACTCAATGATATATAAATATTTATATATATTACTAGATTAAAAAATTGTCCATACTAGGGACTCAGCTGTAGCGCCATTTTGTGATTTGCGCTTCGACTAATTGTCTATATTAATCATTATATGAATGCCATGTCATTTAATCGCCTTGCAACGACAAAATGGTGCTACAACTGCCTATGTATGGCCGGCCACTTTTAATTGTTTTGGATGCATTAAAATATTTAAGAGTTTTTTTTATACCAATATCTATATTTTGGTAAAAAAAAATTATCATTTCTAAATTTTTCAATTTTTATTTATAAGATAAATTAATAACCAAAGTAATTCGTTTTATATTGATACATATAATTATAAATCATAATTATTTTTATCATTAAGATATAATTTATTGTTTACATAATATATAAAATTGATATATTTAACCCGTATTTAGTAAAATTTTAAAGAATTCTTTAAAAAAAAGCCCCTTTGGGTTTGTCAATCAATATATTTTTAATCAATTAATTTAATTCTTATACCTCTAAAAAGGGGTAGTGGAGTGCTCACTTAATTGTGGGATTTACCTGACAGTTGGTTTAAATTGACAAACAATAATACTTTCGGATATATTGCATTGGAGACGCCCTTGGGAGGTGGAAGCCCCTATACGAGGAATTCCATAATGCTTTTTTACGAAACGATAAAATATTTGAGAAGAAATTTCATACAAAAGCAAAATTAATATAACCACCATCAACTGGTTAGTTATATTTTATTCTGCCTTTAGAATTAATATTCCTCACAAAAAAAATAATACAACAAATAATCTCCCATAGAAATCTCCAAAAAAATAAACACAATATGCTCAATCTTTAAAGAGGTAACCTCATCCTTCTACAACGAAAGGGCTCTGATACTAGGGTAAATTACTGCCAGTGGTCTCTCTGGTAATACTGGATAAGCCCGAACGGGTGGAGAGAGTCCTTTTAATTAGTGGGCTTCCCCGGTGTAGTGTTGAACGGCTCATTTTGAGCCGATTTTTAAAATGGCTAACTCAATATGGAAAATTATTATGCAAGACTTGAGATTTTGTTCATAAGTGGCACAAAGGTATCTCGAGGCTTAGACGATATTTTTGTTCTGGCTAAAATATTGAATTAGCCGATGAGCCGTTTAACAACACTACCCCGGTGTACGATGCGATATGAATTCCATATAATTATTAATTTTAATAAATAAAATAGCAATAGAAGAAAAAAATATATAATAAAAATCAATTAAAGAACATATTTAACAAAGGAAGGAAAAATCAAATCACCTTCAAACAAAAAAAAAATTTCTTTTTTTACACAAACAAAAATAATAATAATAGAGAAAAGAACTTACATTATTCGGCATAAATATAATTTTATCTTAATTACATCGTCACTACATTATTACACAACTTACTAGTTTAATACACTAGTTGTTAAATCGGAAGAATAGAAGAAAGAGAAAAAAAATAAGTTCAAATATAATTAAAAATTATATCTTCGCACATTATTTACCCCCCCCCCCTCCCCCTTATGAAAATATATTTTTGTTAAAAGAAGAAAAAAAATTTCTATATCTTTCTCTCCTCATTCCAGATCAACTCCCCCCCCCTTCCCATTCAATTCCTTATAATCAAAATCAAATTAATTACTTTCACGATTTTAAAATTTTTGATTTTAACTTCACTTAAATTAATATTATTTTAAATAAACCTATTTTATCAAAAAATCGTATTATGATAACCTTTGCACACTTTTATTATAAATTCCCTTTTTTTTATTAACTTTATCATAATTTTCTTATTTTTTTTAATAAAAAATATTAATTAATTTTCTTATTTTTTTTAATAAAAAATATTAATTAATTTTCTTATTTTTTTTAATAAAAAATATTAATTAATTTTCTAGTTCCTTATATTTTTATATATTTTTTTTGTATAAAAAAAAATAAATAATCTTTCTTCTTAGTTAAGAGTTGAAAAGATGTGAAATTAGGATAAATACAAATAAAAGGAAGGTAGAATAAAGGGGAGGAAGGGGGGGGGGGGGTAAGGAACGGGTTGGAACAATAAAAAACTTATCTACAAAAACCTTATTTTTTCTTTAAAAAAAATTGAATATTATTCAAATCAACTTAACTTTCATAGATTATGGAATTGAAAGTAAAAAAAACATATATATATATAATATAAAATTAAGAAAAGATAGAGGAAGAAAAGGGATGAAATTGAAAACATTATTCCCTTTTAATAAATACTATTTTAAAATACAATTTAAAACTTGTTTGATGTAATTCAATATTTTAAACATTGAAAATATAGTATTATGTATATAATATACTATTTCGGATGAGGTATCTTTAAATAAGGAAGAGAATATATTGATCTTTTTGGGATTGCTCGGGATGGCACCGGCGGTCACGGGTTCGTTCGAAGAATTTTTATTGGTCGTCTTCGAGTTGGCCGCGACTGCGCTGTTTCCCGAATACTTTTTCTTTATATCCTCGAACCGCTTTCCGACATCCACCGCTCGCTTGGTTTTATTGAATTCTCGGTCGTCGGTATTATTTTCGTTGTTATTATTATAATTCATTTATTTTCCTTAAATTGTTACATTGTTATCTTACTTCTTTTTTTTTTAAAGGATAGCGAATTCGTTTAGCGGACATTGGATCAATAAGAATGATAATTTATGACCTGTATTAATCGGCAATAAAAAAAATATATACAAATCAAAATTGAGTCAAGATAAACATAATTTATAAGGGATTGGGATTGGCAAAAAAATAGTTTTTTTTTGATTCAAGATTTTAATCAAAATAAAAAATATAAAAAATCTTTGAAGATTTTTCTTTTTTGATCAAATTTTTATAGTGTTGTTAAACGGCTCGATTTTATAAAACGGCAAATAAAATATTTTAGCAAAATACACGAGGTAAGCCTGCAGATTTTGCTCATGGATGGCAGAAAGGGTTGGACATCTCTTAGCGAAATCTCGAGGCTTGCATAACATTTATGGTTAAAATAGTGTTAGCCGTTTTTACAAATCTAACCGTTTATCAACACTAACATTTTGCATAAATCAATGGGATTTAACAATACCTTGACTGACGCGATGCATTCATAATAATTGCATTCGAAAGCGTCGTAGAATGCAAATCAGCTGTACCCGTAACCCATACAGTAATTCTTCTCATGTTAAAAACTGCTATTAAATTGATAACTTGCTTCTTTATTATCAGGTAAAATTTGCGTCAGACATAGGAAAAACTTGGCCTCTCGTTTAAAATTTTTAATAATTATATGGGTAATCAAAATGGCATCCTCATCTGTTTTCAGTGATTTTCACTTTTAATGAACATCGTCAGTCTATGTATTATTATATGTCATTGACATAAATACCAAATTTTATTTTAAAAATAAAATAAGATTTGGCAAACTTTTAAAAAAACTATATAAGAATAAAAATATATAAACCTTTTTTTAAATATAAATATAAAAACATGTCAAACATACAATTTCACTAAACTTCTCAAAGTTTAAAAAAAAAGATTTTGGACTTAGCCTAAATCAAATCTTTTGTCATTTTCAGGCATAAAAAATTTTTTCGAGATGAGATCAAAATTTTTTTATAAAAATAACTAATATTTTAATTAGAGAATTATGATTTAAGATAGAAAATTATCCTCAATATATTATATATATAGTAATTCCTTGAACTTGAATCTATGCTTCATGAGACCCTGTCAGAAAATTTTTGAGGAAAAAAAAATGATCAAATTAGATATTTTTAAAAAGTACGATTGTCAAATTAAAAAGCATATATGATATATAAAAGACATACTATATTTTTTTTTCAAATCTAAAAGTTGATACAAAATTCAAACCCTTTTTTGTAAATAAATCTCTCGTGATGATTTTTATGCATAAAAAAATCTTCAATTTTGTTGATCTCCAAATAATTTTTGCTCAGAATCTTTGAAGATAAAAAAAAATCTTCGAATGCTCTTTTGAAGATATTTGTTAAACCCTGTTTTTCCCTCTAATAAAATGATGATTAGTTTTATTATTTTTAATTTTAACTATTGATAACATGAACAGGATGTCCTGATGCAGTAGCACAATTTAAAGTGATAACTTAAGGGGAAATTTTGTTCATTCATTAACTAATCGTCATTTTTTTTAAAAAAAAAAAAATTTAATTATGAGTTTTGCGCCAATTACTTAACGTATTCCCAATACCAAGAAATTTTAAAACCCTCTCTCTTTTATTGGAGGTTGGTTATTAATAAAACGAGGATATCGAGCATAAAATGAATGTTTCAAACACTGTGTTGCAAACGCAAATCATGATTTCAAATGGAATCGTGCAAATTGGTCAAATTACCGCTTGGGCGTTTGAAACCATTTTTTTTTAAAAAAACGCAAAACTGGTTTGCTTTTTCAATTATTCATTCATTTTACACGTACCAGTTCTTTAAAAACTCCGTTTTTTAACATCGACTAAACTTTGTTATCCATAAGAATAAGAGGGGGGGGGCACTAAAAATCCTTTCCTAAATTAACTGTAAATTTAATTTAATATTATATAAAGTGCAAAAAAAAATCATGCTTATATATTGGCATAAAATTTGCTTTTCCCTAAAAGGATGCTACCAAAACAACTTTTTGGGTTAACATTAATTTATAAATAATATATGAAATATTTGCGGGTCAGTTAAGTGGTGGAATCACGCGATCACCTCCGATCTACTATATATCACCCCCTCACTCTAGAATGGAAGCACCAAGTTATCCTGAGAAGAAGAAGAAATATGGTCTTTGCTGTATTCGAACTTAGAACCGTCGGATTGGCAGGCCACGCTCTCATCGACTAGGTCACAGACGCTTTCAGAAATTCACGATTTTAAAAATATTATATAATAACCGAATTTGGCAGTCTTTACCCAGATGAAAAATAACTAAAATACCAATTCGCTAAGCACTGCTTATGGCAGTCTCTCTCATAAACCCAATCTCTCAATCAAACCTATTTTTTTAAAAAAATATCTAACCCTGCATTCGCGGTTAGCTTAGCGCGAATTCGCGACGAATATAGAAAAATACGCAAAAATACAGAATATTTTATATACTTCGCCGCTAATTCGTGCTAACTGTAAATGCAGGATAAGCTCTCATAGTTAAGAATATCGACACTAGTGGATTTAAAACTTGACATATATTTAGCATTATTATAAAAATATTGATAGTAAATTACTAATCTTTTAAAAATTATACCGTCTGTATTTTCAAGGTTTTATAAAGTTTTTTTTTATTACTTATTATGCGCAAATATAAATACTTCCTATTTGAAAACAATGTAATTTAAAATAAATATCTAAAAATTTTAATTAATACTTTTTTTAAAAAAAAATTTTTAATTAATACTTTAAAAACATTTTAATTACAATTTATACAATTAATTTCTGTTTTTAAATCTTATATAAAACAATATAATGGATTGCTTATTATCACTTTCTTTTCTTCTTAAGGATAAATTCAAGATGTTTGACTTTAAAAAAAAATCTTCCATTTATGTGTAATTTCTTTTTTTTTAGATTTTAAGTACTATTTAAAATTAAATAAGCTTCAAAAAAATGGATTCCAATGTTTTTGAAGCGGTGAATATATGATCTCTGCATCAGAGATGCCAATATCGACCCGACATTTTAAATTTTAACCCATATCAGATTTATGTATAAAAAAATTCATCTGTCGTTAAGATAGTTAGATAGGGAGAAAAAAAAGGAGGATTATTTCGAATTTTAAGAATGAAAAGTCTTTGATTTCGCTATCGGATCAGTGGTATCGCGGACCAATAGCGTTGGTTTTAGTTATGGCATCGAGATCAGCAGAAGGGTAGTATCTGTTTGTCTCTGAACAGCATTAGTGATGAAGACTTGACTTCCTGCGAATTAGCGCTAACTGTGAATTCCGGGTATAGAGAACTTTTATAAAAAGCCACTTGTAAGTTTGCAATAGTTTTTTTTTTAAATCGAATTCGCCATTTTATAAATCTGTTTTTCTTTAGCAGATAGAGGTGATGGGGTGGGGGGGGGGGGGAAGAGGGAAGTTTTAAAGGATGGGGAATAAATTTAATAGATAAATTAAATATCCGTTTTTAATTAATTTAATTATTTTTTCCTATAAACAAATAAAATATATGTATCGATCGACAAAATATCACGAAATTTTAAAAAAACGCGAAGTAGGTTTGGTCCGTGCTGAGAATTTTTTGTGTCCCAGTGCGAAGATTAATAATTTAAGCTTTTAAAGAAAATCGTGAAATTTTTGTTAAATGATTTGAATTAAGAGGTAAATTAAGCATAATCCTATTTTTAAAATAATTACAATTCTTCATAAGAAACAAAATTTGGCGGCCGTTAAAATAGTCTTATTTTTGGTTTACCATCCCACGTTCGCACGGGCTTACAAGGAAGGTGGAAAAGCTAGCTACCAACTCGTTATAATTAAACATGTTATCGATTTTAAATCACACTTTAAATTGAAACGATCTCCAATAATTGCAAATTAAGTAATTATATATCCATATTTATAGATAACGAAAGGTAAATCGAAAGATTTGTATTAATTCCAGTCGTGGAGTTGATAAATCGTTTTTTCAACCAGATTATGAACTTACCTCACATATTGCGAAAATCGAGTTTCTAATTGAAAATTAACAGTTTATCTTCAAAATGAGCTTGAAGAAGAATAAATATGCCTTGAAGAAAGCCGGGAAAAATCAAGTCTCAGATCTTCAGAAAAAAAAATGCGCGCGCCTTAAGATTGAACCGTATTAACCGTTTTCGCAACAACTGTTCGCGAGAGGGTCCAATACGGAAAGAAAGCGGAATAATGTCCCAAATCCAGCATTTTATCTTATAAGACCGCGTTGATATATCGGTATCAGATTTGTGACGATATTCATATTAAATAAATCTCGGATCGATGGATATTTTTCAAAACCCCGACCCGATGATACCCAACAATTTTAATTGTTTTTTTTTCTTTTCAAAACAAATTTTACAAAACGTGATACATGTGAATAAGATTAAGGAGAACCCCAAAATGAAATCGCTAGAGGGTAGGCAAGAGAATTGTCGTGTAAGGAGTCATCCCACTTCAAGCGACATCAAAAAAATAGATAATCGCCTTAATTTGAATAATAACCAAATTTTTATCAAAATCTTAAAGGGTAGCCGAAACATGACGTGGAATTTCCTTTGGCGCGGGACAAACCTATCTCTATCTTCCAGATTCGCCACTGTCAAAACTTGTGACTAGTTGGCTTCCAAAACCATGTTCAAAGGCAATAGACTGCTTGGACCCGGAAAAGAAGCCAGAAATTCACCAGAAATGTGGGGATATACAAAGTTTTCAGTCGCTAACCCTGAATTCGTAGTTAGCTCTAATTCGCGGTGAGGTATAAAATCAAATTAAAATATCGAAACAAAATCGGTTTTGATAAATATCAACAAATATAGGATGAATGCGAGAAAAGGTGGATCGATTTTATCGTTTAACAAAAATCGGGTAGAAAAATCAAAAGCGGAAACCTGGAAATGTTAAAACTTTTGGAATAATGTCATCCCCCCCCCCTCAACGTCGATTAATAATTGACGCGTGTCAATCAGAAAATTTTTACAATCAAGCCATTACAGTTAAATGCATGTCTGTTAGGAAGGAGGAACAAAAGTTCGATGACCCCGATTACGGGAAATTTATGAAGTCCGGTTTCTCCCGGGTTCAAATTTTTTTCTTAGTCTTAGGCCAATCACGTTCGCGTGATCTCTCATAATCCAAACAATTGTTTAAAATATTATTTATAATATTTATATACACACAAGGAAAATATATATTTTATTTCTTTTTTTTTAAAAAAAAATTTGCCTAAAACATGCTCCAGATGTTTTATTTTGTTTATTCCGTTGGGGGAATATAGAAATAACACTTAAACTTGTTATTATTATAATAAACTATGAGTGAACCATAAATAAATAGTTTGATTGTAGTATTTAATTTATATTATAATGCCTCAATCACATCATTGCCTCTTGTAGGGTTTTTATGATCTTGCATCAGAGAGGAACAAATGTCCACCTAAAACGGGAAGTGTCTCTTTCTACTTTATGAGACACTTCCTAAAATGTAACGTACTATCAGTGGTGTATGCAAGTTAGATTTTATCCCTTTACCTATGAGAAACATGATACGAAAAATGTGCTGTCATTTCTTTTAAATTTATAAACACCCAATCATGAATTAACCCTAAAAATATACTTAAACAATACATTTCTAGACACATTTCATTTTATAATCAAATTTTCACATAAAAAAAATACCGGTCCCCAATACGCTATAATTCGCATAGAATCGACGCTTGACCCTTTTCTATTTCCAAGTGTAAAAGTGCGCTAAGTATAAGCATTACTTTACTTAACAATTGCTCAAACTAAGCGCTTGAGGGTAAGTTTTCAATTTCATAATCATACTAATCTTATTTTGATATTCCATTTTTCCGAAGATTCCGCACAGATGTATAAAGATATGGCTAGATTTTTTTTCTTCTTATTTTGACCAATATTTCTTTTTAAAATATCTACAAAAACATATTAGAGTAAAATAATATAATGTTTCCAAAAGCTTGACTCACATTATATCACGCCTAAAGGGTGACGTCATGGTTTCCATTGTTAAAAAAACTGATCGTGAATAAGTACTAGCCAGGAAATAAATCCTCAGAGCTATATTTTTTTCATTCTAGCATGAATGCCGATTTTTTTCTTATTTAGCCAATAACTTATTTTTCTAATATAGTGTAGCGTCTACTAAACGGGTTAAAATAATTATCAATCTAAATGCTTTCCTACGATTTATAATCGTAAAATTGTCGCAAAATTTTGTTGCTAACAATTATTTTCCTTTTATATACTGCTCCTACAACACTGGTTAAATAGCTTATGGCTACTAATAAAGCACGAAACATTGGCATAAATTTTAGAATTAGTCAAATGTTGAGCCAAATTTCTACGGAGTGATATAAAATATATTACATATTTTTATTTTTAAAAAAAAACAATAAAAAAAATATTCATAGATGTCAGGTCTTTTCAGTCTAGACCGAAATTGATCCGATTTTTTTTTGAGGTTCAACCGGTCTTTTGTTAATATTTAAGTTTGCTTTATTATTCAATGAATATCATTTTTTTTGTACAAGTTATTTTACTTTTTGCTAATTTTTTTAGTTTTATTTTATTTTTGCAATATTTAAAACCGTAACTTTTTCCTAGGAAGTATTTTTACTTTATATTCCCATTAATCGGGAATTAAATTAGGTAAAAATGGAAAATATTTTTTTTTAAATAATAAAAAAAATAAAATAAAAAAGACCAAAGACCTGCCTGGATTAATTTTTTTGTAAAGATCGTAATGGTCCAAGCGCATCAATCCGGTCCTGATAAAAGACCGGGCCGGACCGCGACCATCGCTAGATCGGAGCATTAAATATTAAAAGATTAATTTAGCTGTTCATTTCTTCAATTTTCCCTTTAGAGACTATTTTGCAAAAATAACAGCAATATTCAAAAATAAATAAATATATTATTAGAATGAGTTCAGCCCTTAACAAACTATTTTAAAATAGCGTTTTTTTTTCTTTTTAAATATTTAATTTTAACGGGACGGGAGTAAAATAAAAAATGATAAAATTAATTTAAATAAAAAAATATGGGAAATTAATTCATGAAAATATTTATCTACCACTTCCCGTTACATAATTTTTAAAATGTAAGAAATATCATTTTAAAAAATGACCAGTTTTATGCTAAGTGTCTTGAGATTTATCTTGTGGTTCTATTTTTAAGATTATGTTAAAAGTCGATTGTAAAGTAGTTTTCTAATGATTACCTTCTAGAAAAAAAGTCTATCTGGAGTAGTTACTGGTCACCTTACAAAGGTTCAAGTTTATTTTTATGTAAATATAATTAAAAAATATCTATGGTGGTATTATGATTATTATTTATCAGTTATATTTATTTATCAAACATTAAATAAAATAACAAAGAAAAAATAAACAAAAACAATAGTGGTTGTTTGTAAAAATGCACATGTTTAAATTAATTTTAAAAATAAATTATCATAAAGTATAAAACAAAATAATGTGAATATGATTTAAAATCATTGTAAAGTCTAAGGAATAAGGTTAATTATCTAAAGGTCTTAATATCTACTAATCATATTAGCCATGTTTTTAAATTTACACTTAACAGGTAAGTATAAATTTGGTTTAAAAATGAAAAATAAATTTAAAATATATAATGTGCAATCTGATCAAATGTATATATATTTAAATATCTCATCACTATTTATATATTAATTCTGATTCTTATTCTTAGAATATAATAATATATTACCTTTGTTAATTGAATTACATGTTGCGGCAGAATAATTTAAATTTTTAAATAAAGGCGTGTATATTTTTTGTGGACAGATGTTTATGATAAATTTAAATAATATTGAGAAGTTTTATTTTTTTTAATCATTGTTCAAATATTAAATTATCCATATAATAAATTTATGATATAAATAAAAGTTTACAAATAAACAATGAGATTTATATATTATATTCAATATTTTATTTATAATTATTATTTAATTAGTCTTTAAAATATAACTAGTACCAGTACCAGATACTCGAATGTGATAGCTATATAAAAGCAGAGTTTGGCGATACAACTTATACTTTTAAGATACAACATTCTCTTGAACATATTATAATTGATTTCTTATTTGTAATTGTTTTTGCTAAAAAATTTAAACATTATAAATAATGCAGTCTCTAAATGCAAATAATATATTATTAATATCAGTTTGCAAAAAATGCCGTTGTCAGCTGATTTTTTACAATTAAAAATAATGTTTGTTAAACAATTATATTTGAGCCGATTTTAAAATGGCTAACACAATATTTTAGGTAAAATATTGTCTAAGTTTCGATTTCGCTAATAAATGTCTAAACCTTTAGCTTCAGGATTGTGTAATATATTCCTGGATAAAATAATGAGTTAGTCATTTTCTAAAATCGACTCCAATCTAGCCGTTTAGCAAAACTATTCAAAAGACTACAAAAGAAAGATTTGACAATTTATCAACTTTATGGATATATTTTGTTTTTAGACATAATTTGGTCAGATTGTTGAAAATCTTTTTCTTATAATCTATAGAAAAGCTTTTACGTGGTATTATAATTTTTTATAACTAAATATTTCAGATATATAAGGACATAATACAAGTTTTTGTGTAAATATGATCGCTTAATAAATTAACATTTTAGAATAATAAATTTTAATAAATATGCTTTAATCTTTTATCATATTACAGACAGATATTATTTTAAAATAGAATTAAAATATTAGCTCTATCTATATTTATCGTTTTTAAGTATATAATGTTTAATTATAATATATTCATGATTTGTTTTAGTAAGCAATCATAACCAGTTATAAAATGACGCTTATATGGTTAGAGCTCCTGTGTTTCCATTTCCATTATTTAAAGCTTTTATCTTAAGATCAATATCTCTTCTTTATTCATTATCTAATAAATATAAAAAAATGAGTAAAAGATAATTTTAATTGAATATACTTTAACTCTCACTCTTTCATTGCCTCTCTTCTTTTGTCTAAAATATTATCAATATTGCTTCCATTTTTATTATGTAAAGCATTCATCTCAAAATCAATCTCTTCTTTCTTCATTATCTAATATATAATAAATGAGTAAAAGATATTTTAACAAAGTAGTTTCGTATACTGGTTTGGATTTTAGAAATTTTCTTAGGAAGAGGTATAGTAAAATTAGATTTAAAAATGCTTAATATAGTTGATTAGTAATTTTGAACTCGGCTAACACAAATCACAATATTATATTGTATTTATATTGTTTTCAACTAATTAATAATTATATTTATATAATTAGGATAAAATAATTTAAATATTAATAATTAATTAAGCTTCAACTGTTAATTCTTGGTTGATATTTAGACATTATTATTACATATATAAATACTTTTTATTTACCATAAATATGTTACAATTTAATATCGAATTTCAAAAACTAAAAATTATTGAATTTGATTACAATTATTAATGAAAATATATATTACTAGTTGATAACCCGTCAAAAATGACGGGGATGAGAATTTTATTCGTTCTTTTACGATAATTCTTTTTACCCCTCCCCCTCCTCCTTCAGGCCAATTCCAACCCATTAAGACTAAGAGTGATGAATTGTCTTTTTTATTCAATGATTGATGAATATATTTTACCTTTATTTGATGATGGATGAATCAGAAATTTTCCTATTTTATGAGATGTGATTTCGAAATTTATATTTTAAATTACAAAAATGAATAAAAATGAAAAAATATCTCATATTAGCATCACACTGATCACCCGTCAAGAATGACGGGGAATTATATTTTGAGATGTGATTTAGAAATTTATATTTAAAATTACAAAAATGAAACAATATCTCTTATTAGCACCCTAAATACTAACATTATTTACCAGAGCTCCTGTTAGTCAGAATTGCTGTTCACTCCCCACCGCGTGAAGGTAGGAGATGGATTTTAGGGGAGCAATATTTTGGATCTTGGCCAGTTTTTCTACCTTTATTTTGATAATAAGATCTTTTGATTTTTTTTCCTAAATCTTCTAGAGAAAGCGCGAATCATATCAGATTTATCTTATAATAATAAAGTGTTATAGAATAGCTATTAAATGCCTTTTTATTTAAATAACCAATCTTAAAAACATATAACTGTATATTTATAAATCTGGGGGTCTAAAAGGAGTAAGTATAATACTGGTCATTAGTGTCCAAGAATTTATAAGTCATGAGCATGCATTTTTCTTTATATCTTACTATTTCGATTTTAAATTTTTATAAAATTTTAACTATATGGGTTAATAACAATTAAAAATACAAATTATCTTTTACCTAATAATCCTATCCTTTCAATAAAAGAGGTAACTTTATTTCCTAAATTATTTTTCCATTTATTTTATAAGTCTATTCCAATTATTCCCACCAATAAAGGATCTGTAATAATTAATTTTTCCTATTAAGCACCATCAAACCTATCATTGACCCTTAATAAATATAAAAATTTGAGTCTCTAGTGTATATTTTTCATTTTATCTGACTTTAGATTTTTATGAGTAAATTTATACCCTAATTTTGCGTAACATATTAATTTACTATGTTATTTATATATTTTTTAAATTATCTATATTATTTTATATAGATAAGCAATATACCTAGGAATCCAATCTTATTTTCTATTTATTTTAGGATAAGTCCATTTCAATTAAATCTAACAGAGACAGAGAAAGGATCAAATTTAAAAATATAAAATTTATATCTATACAAACAAAATGATTATATTATTCATTTGCCTCCAACTATTCTCATTTCTAAAACGGTTTTATATTTTATTTAATTATTATTTATTGCTATTTAAAATATTAATTTTTTTAAATTTAACTTTTTTGTTTAATTATTATTTATTGATATATAAAATATTAATTTTTTTAAATTTAACTTTTTACAAAAGAATAGTTGAAATTAAATTATTTTGTTTGAATAGAATAATAGATGTAAATGTTATATTATTGAATTTGATTCTTTCTCTGTTGTGAGATATAATTTAAATTGACTTATCTTAAAATAACTGTATAAAAAAGAATATCATATTTTTTTGAAAAGATAGGATTCCTAGGTATATGAGAATTTATTGTTATTCTTATCTATATAAAATAATATAGATATCTTAATGTATAAATAACATAGTAAATTATTATGTCACAAAAAAATATGTTATAAATTTACTTATAAAAATCTAAAGTCTGATAAAATGAAAAATATATAACTGAGTCATAAAAATTTTTGTATTGGTTTAAGGGTTCGATGATAGGTTTGTTAGTGCTTAATAGAACAAATTATTACATATCCTTTATTGGTTGAATTTAAAAAAAATGAATATTAAATTAAAAATATGGAAAATAAGGTTACCTTTTTTATTGAAAGTATTATTAGGTGAAAGAGAATTTGTATTTTTTATTGTTATTCATCTATATAGTTAAAATTTACCTATAAAAATTAAAATAGTCAGCTAAAAGGAAGAATCCATACTTATGACTCATAGATTCATGAACTTGGTTAAGAGTCAATAGTAGGTTAGGCAGCGCTAATTATATTTAGCCCATCATTAGTAATTTTAATTTATGTGCACAATAAAAAATCATTTGAACTAAATTTTTATTCATTTATTTGCAATTTTAGAAAAATTTTAAAATAATCCCTGATCTTAATAAATATAAATTTCTGAATAAGATCCCATTAAATAGGAAAATTTCTAATTATCCATCATTGAATAAAGGAGAAAATTATTCTCCATTAATCTTGATGGGCTATCAGCTAGTTTAATATATAATGATATCAAATGTTAAATTTATACATAAATTCAAGAATTAAAATAGTCTTTAAATAAATATCTAATCCTCTTGAATTGGTACTTGATGCATTTAAAGTTCTACTGATCCCTAAATTTTCAGGAATATGTATAATATTATAGGTGTTTATTCAATTTTTTCATAATCAATAATATATTTTACAGGCATTTTCAACTGAGCACTTTATAGATTTAGAATTAATGGCAAACTTATCAGTAGTTATGCCAAATGTGCATTCAATCACTACTTAACTTATAATGTTTTGCTTCTGGACTGGTATTTTTCATAGGATAAGGTTTCATAGTTTTTTAAGGTGTTTGATATTGGTTTTTCTAACTCTAAAATAATTAAAAATTATTTATTAATTTTAAAAATTTACTTTGATATAAAGTGCTTACCATCTAATGAGTTAGGTCAAAATATTTTTGTGCAATCTAAAAATATATTAATATATCTAAATTTATAATACCTTCTCCCAATGTTCTCTAGTTGGAACTGGCATATGAATATCTTTTAAAGTTATATAGCTCACATACCTCTGGAATGATGGTAACAATGCATTTTGCTTATTCTGCTTTTTAACTTAGTTTGTTTTTTCTTATATTGGTAGTTGGGTTTTGTTGAAGAATCTAATAAAAATAATATATTTATATATAAGAACTGAAAAAATTATACATGGTTGCTGGATACCATTGCTTTGATGTGTGAAGTGAATGAAATGGTAAGTGTATGAATGCTGAGCTTGGTAAGGTGATTACTATTGGACCGATTACGCTATAATCATTTTTATTGGACAAATATGTTTTAAAAGAAAACTATTGGCTAAATTTGATTGACGTTTTTTGAGGATTATTATAATAGATATTAATAAAATCATATATTCTTATTACAAATAATATCAAATCTATATGTAATACATGCTAAACTCTCAGAGGACTATTTTTATTTCATTCAGAGGGCTATAA